TGTGTTGTGAAATCTCACATATTTTAGAGATATTTAAGTTCAGCCCCATGAATTACAGGTGAAAACATGGAGGCCCTGAGGAGTCTATTGTTTTGTCAAAGATCATGCAACTAATTTCTGTCAGAGCTGAGATTGGTAGCTAGGACTCTAGCCTTTTCTCTTGAGTTCTCCAGCCCGTATATGGGTGACAGTATTGATAATATTCTTTACAATTATAATGCTAACTGAATACCAGTTATGCATTTATTCAAGATGATGACAGGGTGTGTATTACTTATTCACCTTACTATATTTGACTTTGTTCATGCAAATTGTATTTTTATAATAGAATATTGAAAGTAACTTAAGCATAAGACATATTCTTGACAAAGGATCACTTCACTTCTTCCTTCCACTTTTTGCCAGAATAGAGGAGTCAAGGCAATTTTACACTAACTGTCCAGTAGTTACATGTGACTAGAAGTCTTCCATTCTTCAGAGGTCAATGACAACAAAAATAGGGTGATTAGGGTGCTGTACTGAGTGGGGCAGTTCGAATCCACCAGCTGCTCCTTGGAAACCCTACGGGGCCATTCTACTCTATTCTGGGCTCACTATAAGTCGGAATCTACTTGATGGCAACAGGTTGTTTTTTTTTTTTTTTAATTTTGTGGAGACAGAAAAATCTGCTCACATTGGTGATTAAAGATTAATGGGATCGTACGTGGTAATTTTGCTTATACAAGGATTTTGTGAAACAGCTTTTCGGTTTTTTTCGGTGGTTAGGCAGAGAATGGGAAGCATTGCCTGAAGCTCTCCTGTGTAATCACTGAGGATTCTATGAAATCCGAGAGCAGTAAAGGATTCATATCTCCTGAGAAATATAGCTCTTGGGGTTTGCGGTTACCCAAAATGCTGACAAACATTTGGTAATAAAAGGGCTCTTGGGCTAAGAGTTAAAACGACGGTAACGTTAATATAATAAGGTATCGTTTGATGGGGCGGGGAGGAAATCTCACATAGATCTGCTCAACTTGTGGAAAAAATGGATAACTACAGTGGCTTCTTGAACTTGCAAGTTCAGTGCAAGCTCCCGATAGACATGGGAACTAATTGTGTTACAAAATTTAATATTTTTTTTTAAAGATCCTGAGACTTAATATTATATTTAAGTTAGTAGTTATGTCTAGAATTAAATGCAAATTAACAACAATAACCAAAGATGATTACCAGAAGTGGTTATTATATAACATCTTTTTAATGCTATTGTAGTCAAAATTCCTGAATATAGTCTAAAAAAAAAAGAGTAGATGTCAAAGGGAACATATGATTTAAGACAGAGTTAGTCCGTTTATATCTAAAGAGTCCAAGCAATAAAAATTTCTTTACGGTGTACAAAGCACGTATTATGGGGGAGAGAAGTGAAATTCAAGGAAGGCAAGACAAATGTTCAAAGCACTAGGTAAGTGGTCTGAGACATGAAGTGCATCAGTACTTTGCAGAATGAAGTGAGTGAAGTCAGAAACTTATTTTTTTAAGCGCTGTGAAAGCACAAAGAAGGCTTTTATGGCTGTACAGACATGTAGAACACTTTCACTTACAAGATGCGTGATTTTTTTAAATTTCTACTGATATAATTCT